TCGTGATGACGGAGATGTGATTCATCTTTATATAATCACGCAATTCGGGTACGCGCTGCATGTTAATGAGCACAGGACGGAATGAGAAAATGTGTTTCTTTTATTCTCCTAGTTCTTTTTAAAAATAAGAAAAAGCGGCCGTTTCCTGAAAACTCCACAACAGCTCTCGAGAGCTGCGCGGTGCTCTATAAAAAATGATGTCTGTCTTGTAAGGTCGTTCAAGACCACAAAAAGACGGTTCAAAATTTCCCAGCAATGCCAAGTTTACTAACTTTCCTTCCTTTTTTGCTCAACACGTGGCATTGTACTACTCTTGGCTCGTTGCTTTTTCACAGCTGGGCTTGAGGGAAAGAAAGAGAATGAAGCAGACACGGAAGAAAAGCATTTTCCCAGAACTTGTTTCTGTTTCCTTTTCCATTTTTTTATTTTATTTTACATTTGCCTGAAGGGCCTCAATGTGTTTTTCTGCCCAAAAAAATCATAAAAAATATGAAATTTCCAATGATAAACTATGTGATAAAAAATAAACTTTGAATTTAGTTCTATGTTCAATCATTTAAAAATATTTCCTACGCATAAAAATACTGGTTCGGAGAAATAGAAAAGAACATTGGAGGTAGGAGAATTTTTACAAATATTTTATATTTTTCTTTTACTGCATTTTTTGTCTCAAAACAGATGAAACGAGCGTCAAATCAGAAATCGACATTTCTTTTCCTTTCGCATGGCTGCCATTTTTTCGAACCTTGGGGGCCACATCGCAGAGTTGTCATAAACAGCGCTGGCCCAACACCAACCAACCAATACTGCAGTGGCAAAAGTTGCTGCTGCGGTAAAATCCTCGGGGATAAAGCGCTCTGATGAAAAAACAGGAGGAGATGGGAAATTTTTGTTCCACCAGCAAACCAGCCAAGCGTTCTCTCTCTGTGTATACGTGTGAGAGAGAAAGAGAGAAAAATAGAGCTAAACACGACACGTCCAGCTCTTTTTTGCTTCCGAGCTTGCAGAGCGCAAAAAATATCATAATCTCTGACGCCTATCAACAAATTGTGAAGCAGTTTTGGGTTTTTGAAAGCAATATGCGATTTGTCCCCTGCTTTGGTATCAAAAGTTTATTTGATCCCTTGCCGGGGCGACACCTTGGTATAAAGGGAAGGTGTTTCATTGAATGTTGAGGAGAGGAGATTGTCGCCGGGGCCTATTCAATCCGGCCATTCAATGAGCGATATTATACACAACTGATGCTTTTCAGCTTTTATTTAGCGCAAGTTTTCCTCAAAACTAGACTGAACAAAAAGCTGCGCTCCCCTGACGGATCTGCTATCCCGGTGCAGAAAAATAGCTACCGCTAAATGCTTAGAAATTTATTTTCATGGACACGCGCATGCTTCAATGTTGCCATTGTACAACAGCACCCCAGTTGCTCCAGCTAAAGGTGCATTCTTTTAAGTTTTCCAAACAGACCATGAAAACTTATTTATTTGTTAGCATACCCCAAATGTAGGCGCAGCTGTAGCGTTTTTCTCCTTCCCCTGACAAATTGCCAGCCTATTACAAGACAATAATAAGACCGAGATCGTCTGTCACTCCATAGATGTTTAAACGTGCGGAAGAAAACATCATGAAACTGGGATTTAAATTTGAGACCACGTTATTAAATTGTTATCCTGCCACTCTCATATTTCTAAATATATTAAGAAAAAAAATTATTAACAATAACTATATTATTCTATTCAAGTCATGGCATAATAAATTTTAAAAAGTACAGTTTTTCTAAAGTAAAACTTTTTTTATAAGGTGGCCTAAAAAAAAAAAAAATTACAGTCCACTACAATTTAATGTGCGCATTCCTAGTAAACATTCACATAAGCTGTAAATATTTTATGTACCGGACACATTACAACCACGGGAATATAAAGCCGGGAATACTCATGGGCCATTGTTATTAAAGGTCAGCTGCTCAAATATTGCAATTTCGGCTCAAACCCAACTATTTGCACCCATATCCAGCATGAAATCGTTTCAGCTCTTCAGCGTGAATGTTTAGTCGCCATATGGCGATGCTGCATATCATCCCTCGCTGCTTAAACGCGCCTATTCATGCCTGAAACTTTTATTCTATTTCACAATCGTGTGCCCCGGCACAGAAAGCATTCGTTTCCCCCGACTGGCCTCCATTATGTGCTCAGGCCTAATACCTGGCTGGCAGCATGAAGGCTGTTCCTTTTCATCATTTTTCACCTCAAACGTGTCATTAGTTCGAGGGTGGAAGAGGAAAAGCCGGGAGTCATCTCCTGCGCCACCCTCCTCGGCTAATATTGATACCAGTTGGTGTTGACTTCCTCCCTGTGCCTCCCTCAAATTATGAAATTCCACCGCGCGCGCCGCCGCTGCTTTTATTTAACAAAGGCGAGCTCGTTTAATGTCAAATTTGGCCGGCGGTCCTTTGATATTGACGACCGCCGATTGGACCGTTTTGGTTAATTTCCGCTCTGTCAGTTGCGATGAAAATCCATAGTGAAAAAAAGCAATCAATTTTCCGCACTTGCGGAGAACACCAGATATATACGTGCGTGGCTTTATTCAATTTAAAAAATTACTTTTGGCATTTATCATCAAAGAGGGCAAAAGGGTTTCAATGCTGCGAGGAAATAAAACCATTATGTTCCCAAAAAGTGAAATAATGATAATATGCTTGATGCTTTAGTATTAAAAAATCTTTCAAAAACATCTACGTTTCTCTGTGAAGCTTTTGTTGAGCACAATGATGCAATGATGCAGGAAAAATGGATAAACAATAACATTTTGTAAATTTTAGAAATTGATTTACTAACAAAATTAAAAAATTAGTTAATAAAATAATTAGAACGTTGCATAAAATTTATTTTAGGAAAATAAATGGAATAAAAAAAATATTTTTTAGAGTCCATGTGTAAAATTAATTTAAATTCCTCCCTGGCCTAATTGAAATTTAACGTTTCCAGGGAGTGTGGTGAATTTGAGCAGTTCAATTGAATGCCCTGAGTGATCGTCATTTCCTCTCTGCAGCGGAAAAAATTAGTCACGCCGTGTTTTCGCAGCAGAAAGCCAGCAAGTCGAAGCCTGGAGGCTGACCATTTTAGTGCCTCTTTTCTTTACGTTTCCCTTCTATTTGAATCCGTCAATTGTATATGAGAAAAGAAACTTCTGCACCCCAAAATAAACGACTCTTCTTCTCCAAAGTGGCCAACAATACAATGCGGCAGGAAGGAGGCGAGAGATTTTTTTCCTCTGAGGAATTTTGTTTGGTCAGTGCTGCAGGTTTTGGGTTTTCTTTTTGGCGTGAAAATATGCTTCTCGCAGCCCTTTTGGCAGCACCATTAAAAAACAAAGCAGCTGCTGGAATGCTGCCATAAATTGTAGCAATTTTTGTAAGTAAATTACGCGCGGCCGCCCCTTGTTCTCGGGCAAAAAGAGAGCACGGCCAGCATTAAGGAGGAAGAAGCAACCGCCCGACGCGCATGAAATATGCATATTTCACGTCCAGCCAGAGAGAAACGCCGACTAATTTCCACCAAGTGAGCACGGCGGCGGCAAAAAATAAAACACCGGGCGACGCACACGCAGCAGCTTTCGTCAGCCAAATGAGATTTATTTTAATTTAAACAACACAAAGGAAGAAGCTACTCGCGCTTTTCGTTTCTCGTGCGACAGACGAACCACTAAAAAGATATAAAAAAAAAATATACTTTCAAAGAGGCTTAAGAAACACGTGGTGACGCGAATTTCCATTCAGATCGGAGGAATTTTCATTAAGCCGTTTTAGAGTCGTGCCAAAGCAAACACAGCTCATTAGGAATCTCAAGATTGCTTTGAGTTTAAAAAGTTTCACCTGCACTAATGACTTAACGACACCCCCACGGTTAATTTGATTCAAAATAAATTTTTGAGGAAAAAGAGAAATTTCGCTCCGCGTAGCATCAAATAAAAATCTAATGTAATTTTAGGAACAGACCCAATTCTGAGGAATTTTAATCGAAGTCCATATTCGTCGCAGGCGAGACCGAAATTCAGATTAAAACGACCCGAAATATTTATGTAAATAAGTGGCGCAAGGTGTTGTGTGGAAATATAATTATAGGGAAGCATCCTCGGCGCAGCGGCAGGGGTAATGAGACCTTTAATAACGCGCAGCGCATTTTTATTTCAGCCGCTGACGGAAGTTAATAAAAAATTTATTCCTGGGCTTGGAAAGCAGAAAGAATTCCTCGGCCGCGGCGGCGGTGATAAAAATGATCGTAATTAGATTCTATTATCATTGTGCGTCTGTTCACACCACCACGCTCCGACGGGCCGGCAAGAAAGAACAACCCCTGGCCGCCAGAATGAAAAATGGAAAAGACCTTTCTGTTTTTGGATCGGCTGCAGGTGAATGTTTCTGCTCCAACATCCCTCCTGAAAGAGGGAATGAAGCAAGAAAGAAAGAGAATCAATCTTTGAACGAGGGGGATTTTTTAGCACAGAGATGTCTGGGTGTTTAAAAAAGTATAAAGGTGAAAAGAAAAAAATGTGTTTATCGAGGTGCAATGAACGTTCTTTTATATTTTGTAATAAAAATGTTCAATTATTATTATTTCCTTCCGATTTCAATACAATTTTTTATTTATAATTTGTGAAAATGATATTTGTAACTTTATATTTATTTAATTTTTATTTGAATAAATTTTTGGATTGCAATCCAGTTTGTGAAATTTTATCTAAGTATTAGCCTCTGGCTTGATGGGTCTGTTTGCCTTACGACCGATTAACTTTTTGCTCTGAATATTAAGAAAAATAGCGCCCGTTCTTCAGGTTTGCATGCCGAACTTGGGCCCGGCATTCCTCATTTTTTATGCACATTTATTAACGCGCCAAACCGGCTGCTCGCCGATTTACAATAGAATTGCACGCGTGCAATAGTAATTAAATAAAAAAAAAAAAAAATTAATAGAAATAAAAATTCAATTTTTAAATTTTCGTACCTCGAGTAATGATGGCTGGCAGGTTATATCCGTTCGGACAGATAGACGCACAAATCTTGCCTGGACACGATAAAAAATTCACTGGGCGAGAATCAATCGGGATTGAACCGCACTCGATTTTCAAGGACACAAATCCGTGGACACGGGGTAAAAAAATGAAGCACACCGTCTTCAGTCACAACAACACCGGCGTTCAGAGGCGGAGAGACGCGGATGCGATGTTGCTCGGCCGATCTCTCAACATGCAATGCGAGAGCGACTGAAGCGCTCAGTCGGTGGTCGCGGCTCGGCTCTCGGCTCGGTGGGCTTCGTGTGCCCCTCTGCTCTGCCTAGCGCGGTCGCGACCGAACACCTTGCTTGCCTCCTCTCCAGACAGCCATCTACGACTTCTTCTCATTTACCTGTCCGCTCAGCCGTGCCTCCTCTTTTGTTGCCGAATATTTTCCATTTTCGCCCGTGCAGAAACAATGGCCGCGCGAAACTAATGCCTCGTTACACCGAAATTAAAACTCGCGAAATTGATATTTGATGCGAGGGAAGCTATTTTTGTGATGCTACGATAAGCTTGAGACTGGTAATGACTATAATGCTGGCGTGTTAAAGTTGTTCTTGAAAAATGTATTTATTACTTAATTTTTTTAACTGTATTGATTGTAATACATGAAATTATATAATTAAGCCACTAATCAAGTGTAACAAAATCGCTTAAAAATTATTATCTTTAATAAAAGAACACTCTACTTCTAGTAATTTGTCAAAATATTAATTACAAAAGTTTAAATGTTTGATTACAAATATTTTTTAATTGTCTTTTATTTTTATTTGCTAATTTTTTTTGTATCGTTAGTAATCACAATCCAATATAAATTATGTTGATAAGCGTTTAGAAATAAGCAGTGCAATATTTTGTATAAAATTGTTTCGTTCTATTAATTATACTGTTTAATTATCATTTAAATTCAAAATATATTACGGTGCAAAAATTACAAAATTTTTATCAATTTATCGTACAAGTGGATTATGATTCTATTTATAAAAAAAGGAGGAGGAGATGGGTCAATTTCCTTTCAATACGACTTTCGAGAATCTTAATATTTATATTACTCACAAAAAAAAATCAAACTATAACCGCTCTCCAATGATGAAAATTCGCTGTTATTAGCATATAAAGATATAAAAAGATTTGTTGTGTCTATCTGGATTCCTCTGTTGTAAATTAAACCGACTTTGGGGGCAGGAGCAATAAGACGGCATATCTAATTTGAAACTTTTCGTCTGTGATACCACACAGACGCGCAATAATCGCACGTATACCAGCATGAAAAGGATCATCAAATGAAAGTGCCCCACCAACAAGCAGCAAAGTGAGTCTGAAAGGTACTATGTGTACTATCTATATGCTAATGAGGATATGCGAGTTTGAGCCGGATAAAATAAATATACGTATGGAGAAGTGAGGCAAGAAAAAGCAAAAAGAGCAAAAGCAAAGGGAGGGAGGAGATCAAAACCAGCTCAGAGACACAGGAGGCTATGCGAGTATAGAGTGTATGTTTCACACTTGCACAAATTCGCGTGGGGAGCAAATCCAAAAAAATCTTTTACTTCAATCTCATTATTTTGATGGTAATATGTAAATTAAACCTTGCAATGATTATTTTCTCGCAGATATGTAATACAAAAAATATTTTTTGCACATTATAATAATAGAGTAGAAAAAAAATTATGATTATTAAAATATAATCAAAACTGCTTTAATTTATAAATATTTTTTTTCTTTTTTTACCCAAATGGCCAAAATATGACAATTTCAAAATAAAAACATCAATTTAATTAGATTTTTGCAGGGGAAATAAAATAGATTATCAAAATTTTAATATCCTCTTTGGATAATTCCAAGAAAAAAGCGAGAAAAAATTCCAAAACAAAAATAAAGTCATTATGTCTGCATGATTGCAAGGTGGGATTCAAAAAATAATTACACTTGTATGCACCTGCACTTTGAACCGAAGCTCACGCACCGGTGCGTATGGCCCATTGTTTTATTCCGTAGCCCTGCCCAATTATCGCGGTGGAAAAGTGCGTGATGTGGCAATTCAGAAAGAGCGGCCAATTTGGTGTGCGGACTCGGAATGGCCGCAGGTGTACGCTATCTACGAGCACCATCTCGGGTGATGTGTCACCCAGGTTGTCATCGGCGACAAAACGCGCTGACACGCCGGGCTAACCTTGTAATGAGAACGAGAGGAGCTCTTCGTCTATAAAGGTATACCCCGTCATCTCTCAACCCCGGCTCAATTCACTGCGCTCCTCTCTATTATGTACCAACGTTTCGGGCTAAGTAAGTGAGCATTCCGTTCATAAATGGAGTCAGGATGGATGGATGGTGTGGCTGCTGGGTGTGGAGCAAAAGACGTCTCCAGAGATGACAATGATCCGTCAGATTAGCGCCACACATGAGCATATACATATGTATGAGCACCGAGGCTCCCTTTCAACGGCCGATCGATTATCAAACCCGACGCCATTGGCAAAACTATCAAAGTCTATATCAACATGTTGCAAGTTGTGCTGTAAAAATATTTAAAATTGGTGAAGGTGCACGATTTTCTTGATGTAAGGGCAATAATTAAGAAGCATATTAATTTTTTTTTCTGTATGTGGCTTAAAATATTTTGTAGAAATTTATGAATTGACAATTATACCTCAGTAATATCGGATATGGCTCTCTGTGTTGACGTAATTAACCTAATATTAGCTGATAATCTACTTTTGAATTGACTTTATACGCTTCACATTGGATTCCTTATATAAAAACCAAGCTTAATCGCAAAAGTTTTATTTTAGAAAATTAGAAATTATGAACAGAATAATCATTGGTTCCAAATCAGTAAAAAAAAATGATAATAATAATTTAGCCGCACGAACTTTGTCACCGTAAAATTCAGATGGCTCGATAAAAATATTAAGTATTAAAGCTGTTTGTTGTATATTATTTTGAGCTTAATTTTACAATAAAACTTTGTTCCTCTTTAAATTGTATAGAAAAATTATCATTGCTTGTCTTTAAATAAAATAGATAATTTATTTTCTCATGGGAGCCAGGAAAGGCACTCAGGAAAAACACCAGTTTTAGCGATCCTTTGTACCCCTCCGTTTTTTTTTCTACATTCAATGTAAAACCGCACTAGTCACAGCACACATAGCATGCCCTCTGCTGCTTTTTGTGCGCTCACTCAAAAGTGAGCAATTTCGGAAGTGGTCAGCCCCAGAGTGCACATGATGATGATGGAAGGTTCGAACCAAGCCATTACCTAGTCCAGCACGAAAATAACTTACTCTTATTCTATGGTGGAAAGCAAATGCTCCATGCGCGCGGCCTAATGCGTGATACAGAGAGACCGAATTAGAGAAAAAGGGGCCGCTCTTTTCGCTCTCGGGCAAGCCGCACACACACAAAGTAATATAATTCTACGATTCGGCGGCAAAATGAAGAAGAAGAAACACAAGAGAGCGCTACCACTCCGATAATGGGCCACATCCGCCCAAAAATAATAATGAAAGGTAGCCACCTGAGAGCGAGTATCGGCGTGATATGAGAGAGAAACTTTAGTGTGAAAACGTTAGGCCAATATGGATCCAATGCCACGTACGAGAAAGAAGAGCAGGGTATGGGAAAATGAGGGTACTTTGAGGGAAGAGAGATATGAAAGGGACGGGCCGACGCGCAGACTGTCAGAAAATAAGCAATTTTGGTAATTATAATTACATAAATTGGACGCTTTTAAGTTCTTTTTAGATTCCTATCCTACTAATATTGATACAAAAAATAATTCCACTTTTGAAGAATAATGCAATTTATTTTATTACAAATTAGCTAAAATAATGTAGCACTTGCAAAAAATAAATACCGTGTATTATTAAAAAAATGAGGTATAAAGCTAAAATTTCTTTTCTTCAAAAAGATCAAATTTAGTTTTTAATAATTTAATTATATGAAATCGGACAAAATTTTCTCAGATAATTTTTTTCCCTAAACACATTGTTTGTCAATTTTTAAATATCGATCAAAGTTTATTCTCACTCATATAATTGGCAATTATCGAAATCTGGATGAGCAAACAAGCTGAGCCGTGTTGCGGGATTTGGAGCGAAAATCCAGCGGCAGTAGCTCGGCTCACTCGCACCCTGTCAAAGTTTATCCCTTCCAAAACATTTCTCATAAGACGAAAGAAAATAATAACGCGACGCAACGGCAGAAAGCAACAATTCTGCTAGATTTCCTTTAATACTCGGTTAGGCGTGGGAAGGAGGGTGTCAGGCGGCGGCAAAAATTCTCACTTATAAGGGTTATATAAGCCGATACGAGGCGGCAGCCGCTGCCGCGTCTTGGCTGCAAAAGCTTATTTCGTGTGTGTCCCATTAGAAGCGGCCTTTCGGAAACGACGGCGCCGAGGGAGAACAAGCAAAATCGACTACTGCGCCGCAGATTTTTGCCTTTATTTGAACAATATTTTCAGCAAAGTGGCGATCTCAAGTGTAATATTAACTTTGCGGCTGGCGATAGTGACAACGAGCATTTCGGGAGCAAGGGAGATAATTTTTTTTCCTACGAGAAACAGAATTTTCAGCAAAGAGGAAAGTTTATGAATTCCAATACTTAAAATACACATTTATGTGGCATGGCCAGATTTTTTAACATTGATGTTGATTGTAAATTAGTACCACTTCAAAAACAAATTCTATTTCAATTTTGAAATTAATTTTTTGCAAGAACAGTATAAATTATGCACGCTTGCAAAAAAAAAATATAAATAAATACATTAAGCTAACCAAAAAGTTGCCTATTTAGGTAAATTCATCATTTTAGATTATTGGTGTAGTTAAAAAGATGATTTTTTTTTTAAATCATTCCTTGGTACAATTGAAAACGATATAGAATAATTAAAAATTAATTTGAATAATATGTAAAATAAGCAGTTTAATTAATATATATTTTAATATAAAAAAATTTGCTTGTTTTGATCCTTGTAAAAATTTTGTAAAAATTTACAAAATACATTTATCTTATAATAAATTTATTAGTTAACAACTTTGTAATTGTGTTCACTGCCTAATTATTAAATCAAGTTCAATATGTAGTTTTTTCCCACATGTAGGTCAATTTTCCATAACCGTGGTGGAGGGCAAGTGTTGCAAAAGGCAGCAGTTGTCTGCCTGTCGGCTCGCATTATTTGGCATTGTTTTATTATCTGACTG